AACTTGATGTGCTGCCCTTCTGTCAGTGTTTTCCCTGATTTATGACTTTTTATTAGGACTGTTTTATTCTACCAATATAGAGTTGTGTTGAAGTATTATGTATCATATACAATGTGAAATCAACAACATGGATACCAATAATGCAGTTGTAATGACAATGAAAAAGGCTAAGCACTGAGACCAGAGCTCAGAAAGTCAAAATGTATGGGTATGTTTAGATGAGTAGTGGAACTCAAGATTGAAGTAAAGATAAAGGATGAATAAGTCTGCGCTCTTATGAATGATTATAAACCATTTCTTCCAAGTCTCCGACAGCTGGTTGAGTTAATCACACCTAATCCAACCAAGTAGTCTGCATCTACTATCATGGACTGATGCCATGTTTTGGTTTGATCACATCTAACTTTTTGCCAACCCAATTCTATCCCAGCAAACACATTCAATTAAGCCAAAAAAACGAAACCAATGCTTCGAAGACATAATCAGAAACCTGAGGTCCATCAATGTCCTCTATGTTTAAAAACCACGTTTTACAACTATAGAATAAGATAGAGCGAACGGGTGAACAATATACATATACGCCGCAAGCTATGAAAGTTGACTGATGATAACCGACTTTATTCAGCGAAGTCGTTATATTAAGCTATTTTTTTTCTTTTTATGAATGAAATATGATGATTTATGTGGATTTTGCAAAAAAGGTCATGCTACTTCAACTTTATATAAGGTCAAAAAGGTCAAACGTTGAGAATATAACAGGTAGCAGTTATATAAAACATCACTACTTCACTACTTTGCATGGTGCCACTTGTTATTCAACGATCTATGAGTAATATTGCAAATAGATTTCGATTATAATTGCTAAGTATGTAACAACCGATTAAAGAATAACGATAAGCATGAAGATGCCACAGGTATTCGGAGCTATTTATTTTGAGGATTTATTAACCGCTACAAGCATTTTAATAACTTCACTCCTTAAGTAATACTAACCACTTTCCTACTTCTATGATACAGCTAATTACATAAATAAAAAAATAATTGATATAATACACATTATATAGTTGTGAAGAGTAACTATGGTTAAACTCAAGTTTCAAATCCGAGCGAAATCAATCGAGAAACGCTTATTCACCAATGTTGCGTTTACTAACGTGGAAAGTATATGGATGGTTGTTTTACAATGACCCAGTACTTAATCAGAAGAATAAACGAAAACATAAATTTATAATGCGATAGATTTGTAGGATTCAGTTTCGAACTGACCAACATGCGAAGTTCGTTTACCAATCCTGGTGGTATACAACTGGTTTTTGAACATTTTCATTAGGATGACTTAAATGAATGTGTATGTCCGACTTGATAATTACAGATCAGAAGGTTATGCCTCTCACACTGATTGTGCAAATGTGTTATCTATCATCTGAATTGGTGTTCGTAATGTATTTGAATGACGGTTGCTCACGAAGTTAGGATTATTGACTGGAACTACTCAATGATCGGATATCGGAAGATTTATCAACTGGTTAACGAAGAGAGTCATTCAATATATTGAATAAAAACTTTTATATACAAAATATTTGACACAAAATCAAACAGGAACAAATATCATTTCATATGTTAATGATTAAAAGATCTGTATATTGTAGGTCATCAAGCATCATATTATAATAAAACCTGATTATCAGAATCTATCTTAATTATTCTCATCAACTTTTTATATTGATTCTTGTTCAATGAATACTTATTGAAATGTAAATTTTAATGGTTTTGAACTATCACAATTGATTGTACACTGGGTGGTAATCTATGTCATGTGTGTCAAGTCCTTCTTTGTGCAGAGTGAATGCTATCTATCAAGTTGCAATGTGGCCACTAGTCTAGGTGATTCTACATTGCGTACAGTATGTTGAGATAAGATGGTGTTTGGAGGTAACAACAGGAAACCCTGGACCTAGGTTTCTTGCCACTTGCCACTCGTCAGTAAGGTGTATCTGTAATCTTGAGGGAACTGGTGCTCCATGGAGGATTCGATTCCGTGTCACCCAGCTTCACTGTCAGAGACGTTACTACTAGGCTATCCGGACCGTGACCGACCACCTGTAGGACTGAAATGTAATCACAATTGATTGATGAGTGGGTCGTGATCAATGTCATGTGTGTCAAGTCCTTCGTAGGTTTTTAACTATTTTTTTATTCTAGTGGATCTCTTTATTAGGAATTGCTAAATAATTTGGAGGAGTTAATTAATTTTTTAATTATTACAGGTTTTTGTTAGAAAACCATTATATTTACAGTTTACTGATAACTGATTTAATAAATTGAAGGTGTCAATACAATTATCAATAAACAAGAAATATATGTTGTATAAAATGTTTGATGAATTGTGCACACTTGTTGCCGACTGCTTTTATGAATGGTCTAATGAATATTCAAGACTACTTCATTCTCAATTGTATCCTAGTTAATGTTAATCTTTGATGTCAATAAACCATAAGCGATAACAGACATTTACAAAGTTTCATTAAACAAATACTGTGTCTTAACTGATAACTGACATCGAGATGGTTTCCTGAAGTTCGATTAGTGGGTTTAAACATGTCAGAAGTTAGCCAAATAATCGTCGACAATAATACGATACACTACAATATAACCAAAGCTGGAAATGTAAACTGCTTTTTCCTTCTCAGTCATTTAAAGATAATATGTTCAGTTTGATATCCGAGCACCCTTATTTAGACCCCTTCTATGACAGTCCTTGTCCACCACTGATGTATCACTTGCTAGGTTGAAATTCTGCTCCACTTACAATTGTTTCTTCAGTGTTTTCAGCATTTGACAAAATCCACTTTATAGTGATAAATAAGTCATGGCACTACAGTTTGGAAACGTACTGATTAAATAGCGTAAATTAATAACTCCTCTGACCAAAGAATTCAGATTTATCATGATATTTAATATTCTATGTGTATGATACTAAGTTTTTTGTGTTGATACTGAAAAAGGAAAATTGTTAGTTTGGATAGTTTAAATGTAAATCATAAGTGGATAATTTATTCGTTTAGTAATTCATGAAGATAATCATTGTTTAAACAAAATCAATATGTGCAGAACACCATATTTGATCAAAATGTAGAAGGAGATTCCAAAATGAGATTTTTGTGAATAGATTTACTTACTCTTTTATTTATTACATTCCTAGAAGAAATATAATGGAAGAAGGATATTTGAATACATGCAAATGATTTTCCTCTGATATTGCTCCCTATATATATATATATATATATATATATATATATATATATATATATATATATATATATATATATATATATATATATATATATATATATATATATATATATATATATATATATATATATATATATATATATATATATTATAACTGTTGTGACTGAAAACAATTGATATCCCTTTATCAGCCCTTAAGTGAATGTTTTTGTCTAGAATTTGTTGATGTAACAGAATCCTGTATCTACAAACCCGTGGTTCATGTTATTTGGTGGCTTCCGGCATCACCAATGACAATTGTACTTTGTTTGTTCTTTTTTTATGAAAACATTAAAACTAACTCAACAAAGGCAATAAAGATAAATCAAATCCCAATTATGTGGTGACATGATACCTGCTTTCACTACTATTTTATTACTATGTTTGCTTATCTGTGTCTTTAAAACGTTAATGCAGTTAACAGAGGTTGTAAAGTCTGATTTATCAATGTCATGATTCGGAAATGATAGCCTTCTTAATGTCCCTACGAACCAGTAATAACAAGTCAATCTTTGTTGTTAACAATGCTCATTAGAGACTTCCATATGCGTTAAGTACTACTTGGACCAATGATATCTATTCTATCACTTTGATATGACCCATTAGTAATATGAGACTTCATTCATTTGGTGTAGCATGGTTAATATCGAGTCAAGTGCAGGTGGATCTCATATAACGTATTTGTTCAAATTCCTTTTGCACTGAGACTTTTTTCTTGCCTAGTTAGTTTAAGGAAGTAATTAAGGAAATCAGTAATTCAATGCCACAAAAAGGCTTAGCTTGGTGGTGCTGGCCGGATGGAAACTGATAGTTCGTTTAATCTTCACTTACTATACTCCAAGTAGTATTACTGATAACTGATAGTTTCTAATGGCCACTCAATCAATGTGGTATTCAAACCCATTTCCAGGGTTCCGAATAGTGGACAGTTAGGACTATATTTTTGATTAAATATATCTCTGAAAACGTGTACCAAATTCACAGTTTGTTTATCTTCAAGGCTGTATTCAGTAAAATAAAAACCTGATAAAACAAAACTCAGAAATAAATAAGAATTATAAGAGTAGCTGAGTATCTCAACACATGATCATAGTAAGCCCCCAGTTTAATAAACACAAAATAAATTATCATGATTTTTCAGACTTTTATTCTATACAACAGTCACACTACCTCGTTAAAAAAAAATATGTCATACTACGTAAATAAAACGGAACACTGTGACATTTGAAATGACTAAGAGGATAAAAATCTCAAGTGTAAACAGAGGAATTCTGGTAGTGGAAGAAACCGCCCGAAGAAATTTTTTTACAATTCAGTAAATTACTGATTTCTTCAGTTATTCATAATTATTCTAGCAGTAAATTTTATCTTAAAATAAGTGAAATTTTCCATATCTAATTTAAGATAATTTTGTACACTAACCAGTGAACTAAACTAACTTTCTCTGTTTAAAATAATAAGTATGACGACAAGTTTGTTTTTGCTTTTGAACGCACATAAACCCATTGCTCACGTTTCGTTTGTTTTGATTATAATTACTTGTTGATAAAAATCGATAAATATTATTCCATACATCTATTTTCTGAGTGTTACAATAATTGACCTTTCCAGTAATTGTAAGAATATTTATAATGACCTGTGACTCAGTGTGACCCTGAGAAATTAAATAAATACTTCACTTGAATAAAACTTTCTTCATTCTCAGTGAACTTCATTTAGATACTTATATTTCTAACTTTTCTGTTTTTAAAAATAAAGTCTATTTCATATTTACTTTCAATCGGAATATTTTTTTCTTAACTATCCTGTCAAAAAACCAGATTATTCAGCTCAGATGTTGCAGTTAGGTAAGTTGAGAACAAATATTAAATGACTATCATAATAATCATTTTAAAAACGAATAGGATTTTAATAAATTGGGACATATTAGTTAGACATTTGGTTACTGAGATATATATTAAAAACTCTGACAAAATGTTGCTCATCGTCGGTCATAAAACAAAAAAACCCTACTTTCAGCATTTTTAAAAAGATCACTAGGAGTTTTCTCTATAATAGAAAAATATACATGTAGACTATGAAGTATATAACAGCTGCATGAGTAGTTGATATGTTCAGACATAATCTGTATCAATAACACAGATTTTTTTTCGTTAGATCATTATTTATTAACACTAAAACCTTTGACAAACAACATTACCTCATTGCTTCCATTAGGGTAGATACATTAGTGATCATTAGTAAGAATCGCACATTTGTTTTTGCAGAATAATAAGTTGAGTGATTCCATAGAATGTGATATCATACTTCGGTTATTTATGCTTCAGCTAAATAATACCAAAACAATAAGGAATATTGTGCGGTTGATGGTAGTCGACGGGAAACCCTTAACTCAAGTTTCATGCTAATTAACGTTTGTTAGAAAATTTATAAACCCTAAAAACACACATAAGGTATTCACCTTTTTGTTAGACCATAGACCTCTAGTAGACATTTTCAAATATCAAATACTATTTTTTTTAAAGACAGCGGTCTTAAATATTGTTTTATTTTTTTTTTTCATTTCAAGATTCCAAATCGAAGTACAAACCTGAATTTAATGACCAGTCACAGTCGTCCATTCCAAAGCTCCCTGAGTTGAGTTTTCAAGATGTTGAGAAATATTTTTCCGATTTGTGGTTTGAACAAATATCTATCAGTGAAGCGGTTAACAGAAGTGAGTATCATACGTCAAATACAACTGAGAAAAATTGTCGAACGATCTCATCATCTGACGAACAGTTGTATAACACTGAAAATCGTTTGTTAACAAACCAATTATCCATATTTCCTAAAAATACGAACAGCCATAAAATGAGCATGGTTGAAAATAGACGTAAAAGACGCTGGAAAACTATGGCACGTGCTATGATTCCTAAAACACAATATTTTTAATAGCTTTAAATCATTTCTGAAATCACAAAGTCCTAATTGTTGATTACGTTTATATCGTAAAAACTAACCATAATAGCTTTATTTAGATTCACAATAATGATGTATAAATTATTGAAAATAACTTGATAATTTTTTACTGATTATTGCATTTCATAAAGTTTCTAATCAATACCTTGTTTTCCATATATCTGTCAGGTGATGTCACTTTTGGCTATCAGGTTGGATACAGAAGTTCCATAATCTATCGATGTCAGTGATTAAGAATATAAAGATTTCAATGATCAAGTCATCAACTTCAAGTTAGTATTTGTCCATCACTTTGAATGAATTTTAAGAAATGCTTTCTCTAAAGTATAGGAAATGTCATATCTGTTGACATTAGTGATATTGATGTAACTTGAAGAAAAGTGATACTTACCACAGAAAACCGTGATTCTCACGGCTCAAGAAAGAAGATGAAGACAATAGATGGGTATTTGTTATGCATGAAAAATAAATCAAAACTATATCCGAATATATGAACTTTTATGTATTTTCTTTACACTGATCAGTATTCAGGTTGGAATAAATTAAATCGTATAGCACTTGTCACTAACAAATTAATAACTACATGAACAAACATGTATCATATAAGAATAAACATCTGTCACCAGCACATATAGCTAATTTAGTAGATTATCTAATTAAGTACCATAGATAACTAGAGGAGATCGATTTTGTAGATCAGTCGCACTTTAATCAATTAATATTTGTTTGATCGTCTTACAAGTACTAGAAGTGGACACTCGTCTCCTGAAATAATGTATAATTGTTTGTTAGAATCCTGAAACAGAATGTTAATTTACAATGGGTGTCTACCGTTTATTACTAATTATTCCCTATAAGCAATGTGAACTAGAGTACGTAGATATAGTTAAATAAAACAATTCATACTACAAACAAATCCTCATAGAATACCAGTGCAAAAGGTTATAATGTAGTCTTGACCAGTTGTAATTACTAAGTGATCATCATTTTGTCTTCGTGATCTTAGTGACGTATTAATCTATGGGATAAGGCAATAAGAACTGAAATAAAAATTAACTAATGTAGACATTATCGTGTGGAAATTCATCTTTTCCAGAGGACTTTAAATACCATAAATCACACTACTACTTCAACTTTTAAAGAAAAGTGATTGGGAAATTATAACAAATTTGTAAATCCACAAAGTCATATGACAAATTTTAGTTCAAATTTGTTGCTAGTTTTTGTACGACTGAAAAGAATTTTTAAATGTTGTTAAAAAAGAAGAAATGAATGAGAATTTACGATTACTAACAGAAGCACAAGTTTAAAATCTGATGAATGAGTGAATAATGATGATTGAGGATTATGTAACTAAAATAACATGGAAAGCACGATTTTGAGTTGTTTTTTTTAAAAAAAAGAAACGTAATTCAACTCTTAATAGACCATGGGAAATTTTAACTAATTCAACTTCCAAAGTTGGAAAAATATCTATCTGTAATCCAGTATCAAATAAATATCAAGCAACTACACGAATGAGACAATTCCATTTCATCAGTCGCATTCTCGCTGACAGACCATTCTTTATTCTTGTATGAAATAACTGTTTGGAAAGAGATGGATTATTCAGTCTACACTGCAAATGGTAACATGGTGCTTACTGGTATGTAATAACACAGGTCAATAAGCCATTCGAGATTGTCACAATAAACTGACTGTGGGATATATCATGACTTATGTGGTGAATACTCTTTTCGTCATTATCTCTCAGGCTTTATAACATCTAAATTCGAGATATTTGAGTATTAGATACGTATTCATTGATTTCTAACGTTTTTATTGATAGGTTTTTTAAAAAGGAATTATTTGAAGTTATAAAAAATTGATCATCTAATATATCACACTGACATACTATCTAAGTTCCTATGAACAATATTATATATAACACTGGACTATAACCGCATGTTAAGCTTCTTAAAGGCAGTTATATATATGGATTCAAAATATAAACATTAGGAACATCGTTTCAGTGTCTCGTCAGCTTAATCAAAGGTACGAACTGTCGAACAAGTTTCAGCTTTATTTTATTCACGTATTACTGAACATAGGAGCTGACACTTTCTTTCACTGCATTAAGATGTTCCGTATTCCGATATCTAAAAAGCACCTACCTAAAGAGAATCTGATGATGATCCGATTAATTGTCGCACAGTTTCTTAAGTACGTTCAGCATCTTTACTGATTACTATCACTTCGAAATTATTATTATTATCATCAGCTTTATTCAATATTAAATTTTTGGTACAATATAGAATTCTCAGCGCAAAGTATTTCAACAAGTTTCCGTTTCTTCTTGGTTGGTTCTGGCGATAAATATTGAGTGATTGCCAGTTAGATGTTAACAGTTCACTAAATGAACATTTGAATAATGTGCATTCTTTTCGCTGTATATTGCCAGCAACCACATTGTCTCTTATTGAGTTTTTTGTAACTTTGACAACGAAAGGTTGTATATTTTTCAGAAACTCAGCAGAATAGGTTATGCGATCAATAGACATAACGATATATTAAGACAAACAAAATTAGATAACTTGTTGAAATATTTAGATGGCAGGAACAGGTAGCCCAGATGCTCAAGCAGGCCGCCCTTTGAAAATCCTCTTCATGAACGCTTATTTCCAAAAAAACATTAATGTGTAGCATTATTTATTTGAACACATAAATATTGGTACAAGGAGGCACCGAATACATATGCGCCACACAAATCTCATTTGATTTGTGTGTGGTATGTGATACTACCCGGGTGCCCAAACCGAAGCAGGTAGTTTTCTTAGGGGGCCACACCCGGAGCCTTCGACCTGAAGGTCTGATCCACGAGGCAGTGCAGCAACGTTAGGAGATGCACTCCCCTGGTAGCCGGTGACCAACGATTGGTTCACACGCCATTTGTTCCCCTAAGGTACTGAAGCCTATGTGCACCACTGGTTTGGAATCAAGGTTTTCCAACTCACCTAGATGGACTCTCCATGTCCACCAACCCGGCTAAAGAGCCGAACATTCACTTTTCGTTCTCTCAATTTCGTAAACAATAGTAATGCCGCGAAAAGGCAGTTATCAGGGCTTCCCTGACAGTGGCTGTATACGCGTGGCCATGTGAGAGTATTTCGATAGGGATTGCTGACTCTTCCCAACGTCAACCGTACCAGGGTATTTAGAGGCATCTGTCATTAGAGTAATTACTATCTCGTATTAAGTAGAACTGTTATTTATATGATAGTATGCTCAAGAGTAGAATGAATAAAGACAAATAACTAATAGCAAAAGTCATCACTACTTAAAAAGCATAGTCCTTAAAATTGTGCCGATTTTAGTGATGATAATATTGTACTTGATCTCGCTTAAATAAATATTATAGATTAAAATGAGTTAGATTTACAATAATTATCCTAACAATTTTAAAATTCTTGTTATTTGTTATTAAAAAAATTAATGGAATAATTCATAATCTCTTCCAACACATACAATAATTGCTTTAATTACTTTGTATTAAAGGAAATTACTTATCAACTACTTCCTTCAAATTTAACTGAATTACATGTTTATAAAAATTAGCTCTAATCTAAACTTACAGACAAACACAAAAATTACCAGTAATTACCATGCAAATTTTTTTCTCATTTCCACTACGTCTAATTTATCATATAAATTCAACTCGGAAAATTCTATCCTATTTAGTTAACGGTTTGTGATACTATAGAAATGAAGGTAATTTTAATTTTTTTCTTTGTGATCTACCATATATTTTCTGTGTATTTACAGAAAACCTGTTATTATTTAACGGTTTTTAGTTTAAAAATTCAGTAGAAAGTATAAATTATTCTTGCGATTTAGAACTCAGTATTCTTTACTGTCCAATGGTTTACATCATTGAAATAACTTTCAATTACAGCCACTAAAAATTGTTGTGTAAACCGGTATACTTTAGCTATAGAAACCTATTTTGAGTAAAAAAAATCAGCACAATCGGTTCATAAAAATATTAATAAATAAAACAACTGTTTGGGTATTAGTATACAGTTTAGTGTGAATCAGAAATAATCAAATTATCATCAAATAAATCCTACTGACATCTAGCGATTAACTATTTATTCCCAGAATTTTAAAATTTGTGGTCCTTAGGAGCAATAGTAACAAGCCGTATTGATTTATAACTAGTGAACTATTTCTGGTTAGCGATTTTTTAGCGAGCTGGATTTCTACGGAATGGGGTCGCTAACTCCATGTCCAACCCTCCTCCTTTACCCGGGCTTGAGACCGGCAGTAACTTTAGAAGAGCTACGGTAGGAGTTAGTGAACCATAGTGGCCTTGATACCATGGATGCTTTTCATCTATTCTAAACCACGATATTATAACAACATTTGACATCCATGAAGTCAGGAATCTGTTCACATTCACCAATCTATTTAAATGCTTGCTCGTGTTTATCAAAGTTATAACCCGAAAAAATTTATTAAAATATACATAGATTGTCACTTCAAACTAATAGATGCTCTATCAACTTCATACCTCGATAAGCAAATACAGAAGATAACTTATCATCAGTCTGTTTGGCTCCATCAAATGAAGTCTTTTATTTAAAAGAGTAATTTATTTCTGAATAGCTTTTATTAGATAATATCATAATTACTGATCAAGCCAATGTAGCCTTCACCTATGGAAATGGAAATGATGACTGAAATTAGAAAAATGAACTTATGAGTTGATGAAAACCAAAAGTTGTAGATTTGATCTTATACCAATCAGATGACAAAATCTGGTTGCTATATGAATTGTACTTCAGTCCCCAAATTATATTTGTAACCCATTTATGGTGGGGGTTTTTTTCTACCTTGATTAGTGGTAGACTGCCATCACATTTCATTTAAATTGTTCTAAGAAATGTGATTTGTTTATTGAATGTCACTCAGTTACCATAAATTACATTATATTGCATGAACCAGAATACGGTCAGTAAGTTACATTTATTTAATGAAAGATGATAAATAGTTTCTACTTGATACGATTGCATTTTGATCAGTAAACTCAAAGTTTCGGTATATTATCACTTTATATCTACTAAAGCTTGAAACATTGTTTTATCACATCGTGAAAGGCAGATAAACATCTTAAATATAATGAACGATCGGTCAAGAATGACTAATTACAACGTTGTTTATCCGAGTAGTCTCTGTATCTTGAATTCGCACGGTAACATTTTACTAACGAAAATACGTAATCTACTTTACAATTCTCAGAACCAGTTGAAGAGTAATTCTATAAAATAACGGGATATAAACAATTTGAAATGTTAACTTAGAAAGCTCTTAACAACCATTCTTTAAATCCTTCAGATGATAACTTCGGAATGATATTAAACATGCATAGAACTTAAGTTGAATAAAAATCGACGGTAAATACTTTTGTATATGATAACTTTAAGTTAGATTTTTATACGAAAGCTTTTTCATTAGTCAATAGAAAAGAATTATTTTATTTTATAAAGGTTGCAGTACAATGGCTGCATGTAGGTAGCATAAACACCTATGGAAATGGAAATGATGACTGAAATTAGAAAAATGAACTTATGAGTTGATGAAAACCAAAAGTTGTAGATTTGATCTTATACCAATCAGATGACAAAATCTGGTTGCTATATGAATTGTACTTCAGTCCCCAAATTATATTTGTAACCCATTTATGGTGGGGGTTTTTTTCTACCTTGATTAGTGGTAGACTGCCATCACATTTCATTTAAATTGTTCTAAGAAATGTGATTTGTTTATTGAATGTCACTCAGTTACCATAAATTACATTATATTGCATGAACCAGAATACGGTCAGTAAGTTACATTTATTTAATGAAAGATGATAAATAGTTTCTACTTGATACGATTGCATTTTGATCAGTAAACTCAAAGTTTCGGTATATTATCACTTTATATCTACTAAAGCTTGAAACATTGTTTTATCACATCGTGAAAGGCAGATAAACATCTTAAATATAATGAACGATCGGTCAAGAATGACTAATTACAACGTTGTTTATCCGAGTAGTCTCTGTATCTTGAATTCGCACGGTAACATTTTACTAACGAAAATACGTAATCTACTTTACAATTCTCAGAACCAGTTGAAGAGTAATTCTATAAAATAACGGGATATAAACAATTTGAAATGTTAACTTAGAAAGCTCTTAACAACCATTCTTTAAATCCTTCAGATGATAACTTCGGAATGATATTAAACATGCATAGAACTTAAGTTGAATAAAAATCGACGGTAAATACTTTTGTATATGATAACTTTAAGTTAGATTTTTATACGAAAGCTTTTTCATTAGTCAATAGAAAAGAATTATTTTATTTTATAAAGGTTGCAGTACAATGGCTGCATGTAGGTAGCATAAACAGCTTGAGTACTCCTACATGGACAAAATTTGTTAGCCATTTCTGATATAATTCTAATCATAATGTAAATATTTTGAGATAATCCATTTGCATTCAGTTCATCAATCATATATTAAACCGAATATTTATAAGATTCATCCATTTACAGGTTCAGGTGATTTTTGTTTTAGCCTTATCTCTTAATATGGTGGTGAATAAAGTGATTTTGGTTGGAGGCGACTGTAAACTCGACTGCTTAAAACGTTATCTTATGTGTGATGATCGGTGCAAAAGAATGCCTTTCCGTGAGGAGACATGCTACTTAGAATGCAAGAACACACTATCAGAATGTCTGGATAAACCATGTGCGAAATTTGCTGAGGACTATTATGAAAGATACAGTTAATTAACTGTCATTATTTCTACTAGAAAGAATATATATTCGTTCACTTTTGTATATTTACGCTAATTCAGTGATAAAAAGATCCGCTTCACTATATACAGCTGAATATTTTACATTATTAAATACATGGTCGAAGAATAGTTGAAATATTTGATGTATTTTTTTACTTTGCTTATTGAAAAGAAATAAGTATTTTTGCTTTGGCCGGTAAGATTGAATAATATAAAATCATTTACATTGATTTCTCTGGTAACAGGTATAAACAGTATAGGATAGGAATCAGTAAATAACTACTCAATTTAATTGAACATTACCCAGTTATTGTGCACTAATGCTCAGAACAAGGAATAAGCATCGAAAATATTAATAGTTCAAATCAAAGCTTTTATTTTAATGCCATATCAAAAATACACGAAATGTAGAATTTCCTGTTTGACAACAGTATACGTTTACTGTGATAAACATAAACCACCGAAAGAAAAAGTATAAACTACGCGTAAACGCCAATTATTTTCAAATTTTCCCCCACAGTGGAACCCTGATGATAAGCGACTGATATTACTTCAGTGATAATGTTAAAGATAAATTCAAACTTTCTTGACTAATTATTGCATCCCCAACATTTTGGACGATTACGAATCAAACGATCGGTGATTTTAAATGTATAAGGTCTGTTCAAGCTCATATTACAGTCTAAGCAGTAAGTGTTTAGTTGAATAAAAATCATCGGCGAGACTCTAATTTATGGACAAGCCAATCATAAGCGTTTTAGTGACTTCAAGGTTACGGCACCAACTTCAGTGCTTAATGCTAACGTACGATCGGCTCACAAGGAATTTTGTACAAAACGTGATAAGTGAGCGGCTATAACATATAAAACGGCGAGACTATAATTTGTGGGCGAATCAATCAGGTATAAGATAACAGATCTCGGATTTTAACGCGAAAGCCCTTCATCTATTTGGCTAAATAGATTTCTGGCATTATAGTAGATGTCAGTTCATGATGAAAACCCTATATATAATTCCTAATTAAGGCAAATTATGACAATTATTGCGAACTGGATGATAAGAGCACCAGTTAAACTGGCTGCAGCCAGGTACTATAATATATACGGATGTTTGGAGAGCGTACAGACTCCTACATAGACTTGGTTATATGCATTGTGTCGTTATCCACAAGTATCATTTTGTGTACTCAACAACTGGAGTGCACATAAACAATATTGAAATTATGTGGTCGAGGCTGAACGTTTTTCAGACTTTATTATGGCCCCAGAAGCCGACTATTCTGTAGCCATATGGCTGATTTCCTCTACTGCATGCATTACGATTTTACAACCTCCGAACCTCTTTCTAACCTTGACAAGTTTTTGAAGCACTTATTGGAAGTGTGTCCACTTTATTTCCTTGGTTTTGTATAACATGTTTTGGCGAGACTCTAATTTAAGGACGAGCCAATCAGAAGCGTTTGAGCAATTTCAGTTGTTAGACAGCAGAAGACAGTTAGTAAAAAGTAAAAATATATTATAAGAAAGTAATGAATGCTGACAGTTTGCTGATTGACTAATATTTATCAAGGTCACTCAAGATTCGTCCAAAAGTCGTACATAAATTAGTCTCGCGAAATCATCATTTGTGATCATTCGAATGATTTTGTGATGGTAAAAATTTATAGCAAGTCTCATTAGTCATATGCTCGGAAATCGAATAGAATATTCCCGAAAGAAACAGCTATGATTGCGATCCGCTGGTTAGATAGTTATGTCTTTTCACTCTAACATTACCATTAATTATATAGTCAACACTAGCTTGATCGATGACCAACACTAGGTATCGACCTCGGTAATTTTCACTTCGAAGCTATTTGATTAGTGATTTACCTGCTAACTTACACCTAGCAGCCCTCTTTATGCATAGGAAGTCGACTACGATACTTCATCCAACTATGTCCAGGGCTCCCACTTAAAGTTGTTTCTACGTGCTATCATTTGATATCTGCCTCCGGTTTCCAACGGAATGTGCAGTTTAGTCTTCCCCTTTTCTCTTCAGGATTACATGTTTGAGCATACCCCATGATGCAGTTTCATAATTTCCTGAATAAATGTCTTATCTACCTCTGCAGTCTTTTCCTAATTTTCTCATCATCTGTAAGCCGAGTTGTTCACTTTCACAGTAGATTGATACTAATGGCATTCGGCCAACGGATATGCGGCATCTTGCACTGAGATTAACTAAACATCGTATTTCAGGATCTTTTTGATCATCATTTGATCTTACAATTTTGTTGCAGTAATAGAGGCTGTATCTGTCGGAAAAAGCATTATTACCGTAAATTCTACTTGACTTTTACTTTCATTTTTCCATTCAGCACTACTCGTCCACACTGTTTTTTACTTTCCTAATTACTACACAGGACTTATTATCTATAGTCAGTTTCTTGGCATACTTAAACATTTTCCTTGACAAGTCTATTGGTGTTACCAAGACTTCTTGAAGTCGCCTTAATATGCCATGATGAAAGTTGTGAACTTCGATAAAATTTTAAAAGTTTGCTGCAGCCGGTAAACAATATTGACGGTTGTTTCACGAGTATATTTTGTTGACAATGCTACATATTTCGGTAACTGCAGGTCAACTGAATTCAGAATATCAATTCTGATGAGATTAAATAATTCTGCTTTCAAAGATGTTGTGAGTAATTTACCGATTGGGCAATAATTTCCAAAAAATGGGGTGATTATATATTATTGAGGACGCCAATTTATCTGTTCTCACCTAGAAGACACAACCGCGATTCATTTGTTTAATTCAATAACATTACACTGAAAATAGAGATTAAACTGAGATTGCCAAAACGTCTCCTTGGATTGGAGTGTGTCCGTCTATTTACTAATTCCCTGACTTTTTAACCTGTTCGACGGAGAACTGCAACCGTCCTAACACAATGAAATCACAACTGAGCCTCAAAAGTCAACTTGCAAAGGCCAACACGAATTGCTTTGCATGTACATGTAAGTTTGTTTGTATGTTTTGTGCAAACACACTCTTTGATCTTACCCGTTACCATCTGCGTATTCCTTACAGAAAGTAGGTGACTTATAATTGGATATCATACAGAAAACGTGACTAAAAGATATACACTTTACACTATTCAACATTGATTCAAGTAATTACTTGGGATTGGCCTCGATAGCCATATGGAAAAGTAAAGTGTAAAATTGCTTTTCTTTTGTTATCGTACATCAAAAGTTCTTACTGATTTGGTTAGCAGATTGCAACCTGAAGGAACGTTAGTCGTCTGCATTTGCATACGTTCATCGACGCAGCTGTTTCAGTCATAATTCGAATTCTTCCTGTTATTGTCAGATGGATAACTAGCAGTACGCCCAAAGCTTCGTCAATAGTTAATTAATTATCAAGAGTTGTTAGCTTTCATCCTAGACATTTTTTTAATATAGTAAACCAATTAAACGACCGAACGAGAAAGTCATAAATAGACATAAAAAAAGGGAACTGCATATTGATATCAGTGTATTTCCGATGTAGCAGGTACATATCATTATTACATTATCGAACAATAACTTACAACACAGATTTTCAGATAAGATACTACACAACCAGGGCTATTAAATAAATAAAATCAATGAAAGTAGGTGGCAAAATATTCGTTCAGCTTTATTTTATGCTGGATTAGCTATTCTACTAAGATAACCTATAATATGCTAACTTTAACACTAGGATTGTGTGGCTGACATCGGATGGATAAAAAAAAAGAAAAAAAGACAATAAAACATATAGTTGTTCGTATTCTTAACACCCTCTATATGCACACTCCCTTCTAATAAAACGCTTTCCTTTTACCAACCTTGACTCCCCTACCTTCATGTGAGCTTACTCCAACGTTTTAAACATCACAACTCATTGTTCTTTTTAGCTACATTCTCTTATATGGAGCCTCTGACTTCATTTCACTCCAACAAGAGATAATGTGAATTTATGCCAATTTATTATACCTATGTCTGTTCTACTACAAAATGTTGAGCAAAAGTTTGGTTTTCATATCCAAGTGCCTTGCTGCTCTTCTATTTCTCTTTTCTTTCTTTCTTCAGAATCTTGCTCTGAGTGAACAGATACGAAATTTCTGACGTCTGGAACTCACTTGACGCACGCGTCTCCTCTAGGTTATAGTTTACACCAAGCGCTCTACGAGTCTACTATATAGCAACTATAAACTTAATAAGTTGGGAAGAATGCTATGAGCCAACAAATGTTGTATATTGTAGATCGAGCATGCAGAAATGGCTTGTACATGCTCACGCAGAAATGTGTTATTATTATTACTATTATCAGAGAATGACTAATTTAGTTTCTGCTATACCACAACACTATGAGTTCACAGGGTTTATGATCTGGCTGAAAATAGCCCAGATTTTGGTTGTGCACGTGCCAAACGGGCAAATTATCTGAGATTGTAATTCGTGCGAGAGAATCGCAGTGAGTTATCATGAAATTCTATTCTTTGCTCATTTTATGGTTGATAGAAAGCTTTCGGTAAATTTATCATTACAAACATGCAAACAATCAGTGGTGCCGAGACTATTCTCCTATACTCGCTACCGAGATTCACGTTCATAGATTTATTCTGGATTTGATATTCTACTGAAAAAACAAATAAGAGAATAATCAAAGCTATTATATTATGAAATAGCAAGATAAGATAAACAATAGTGATACTTGAAGAACGATAAACGATAAAATATAAAAAAACATTGCTAGTGTACAGTATAGATGTTCATCGAATAAACGATTGTTTTTAAATAAATTCACTACAACTGTCTATAGCCAATAATAAATATTAACGTTTTTAAACCCTAAAATCATGTTCAAATAAAACTGTTAAATACGTTTTTCGTATTTGATAGAAATGAATCTGGAACAGTCAGTTGGGCCTACCGTTGATAATCTATTCAATTCTCCTGTATCTGAACCTGGTCCTACAAAAATACCTTCTGTAATTGGAACTAGAAAACCGAATACTACACGGGTAATTTCACCATAATACATGACTATGAATAACTTGTCTTATTGTAAATGCAGACTAGTAAAAATTGTATTTTAAAACAAAAGTATGCGATACCAATCAGTTTATTTACCTGAATCTCCCGGCTGCTGATTGAATGAAATTAAAAATCGGTCTGTGACAAAAATAAATCTACCATATATTACTTCTATATTCACTCCTCTTGTTCTCACGAGTTTTACTAGCAGCTCATTGTCATCCACTTTATTTAATCAAGTAACATTAACTTTTTTATTGTACGCCTTGATTACCAAGGTGTTTGGTGTACAACTCAATAAATGGATGGGAATAAAGATAAATTGTATTGAATTCTACTACTAGCCAAAACTAAATAGTGTATTATCAAGAATCCAGCCTCACTATTTTCTCTCTCCACAGTTCACAAGAGCTAGAATTTCTATAGCAATTATTTATCCTCTCACGTCCTCAATATAACATTTATGAACCAATTTTTAAGTTTATAAGTTCCGTCTCATTATACTGTTTGTATAACATTTTGCAGTCATGTCTATATTACTCCGAAACAGTAACGTTGATTCTTTAAAGTTGGTCCTTTGACATTTATCAGATTCATACTTAGGTATTATTTATTTAAAGTGCACTCAGAAGACAGTACTTAAATCTACAAACTTAGTTTATTCTAATAACTTGGATATATTACTAACTACTTGTTCCGTTGTCGACTTGATTCAGGATGGTACTCGTCACAGATTGACCTCAATTAGGGTACCGCGAAACCATAAGATTTTGTATTTGACCCCGGATGGGATCGTAAGTGAACACTGACGGGGTACCGTACTTGAACAAACGAACCCCCTGATTTCTAATAGTGCTTCGACTGAGGTCAATCTATAACGATTAATACCTTCAGACTAAACTGATTTCCACAAGACCAACTTAAAATAATGGATTTCCCAACACGTTCTTGCTTGAACCAGTCATATCTGAACTTTTGTAGGTTGGACCTTAGTCGTTTTACCCTACATCTTTCCCTATCGTTTAATTTCCGTTCTATCCATTCATTTTAATAATTCTTCGAGTTGCCTAATTAAATCCTAGCCCGTAACATTTGGTGCACCCTCCACAAATTTTAAACATTTCCCAGATATGGACTAGCGGTTGAATATGTTTACCAACTGCTAACCTTAATCCATCTGTTTCAAACCAGTGAGTTTTCAAAAACCCAAGGTGTGCATTTGATTAGCCTTCTTTTCGTTGTAGTTCAAAGCTTTGCAGTTACAAGTAAAGTTAATATTTTATAGAAATCATTGCCATCAATCATCTACCAACCGTTCTTCATTTAAATATGTTATTGAATACCTATTATAAACATAAACTACACGGAATTTCTTACGTATCTCTGTTCTTTGTAAACATGTTGCTAGCCAAACATTTTCGACGAATAGCCTGTTAAAATTATTATCATCGTTATCCATTTTAGCTTTCATGTGGTCAGTTCTCGCTTTATTAACAGTTTCAGAATACAATGGATTTTTTATGTAAGGTGTTTGTTAATTGTTGCGCTCAGAGAAATTGTGATCGATTCTAATCCTATGAAATTAGCAATTCACCGCCTCATAGTTAATAATCTGATTCATAGTCTTGTGTATCTTAAAAATGTGCGAACTGGTTCAGTCAGTCAGTAACAACGTAGAACTTCGTACGTACGTACATCAGTTCGAGTTGCCACACCACCTTAGCACAGAGATGCAGTTGTCGATTCATATCCCGTAGTGGTAGATGTAGCAAGAGTGTAAGCAGTAATCGGGAAGATTAGGGTTTGGAGATGTTATTTAAAGAGTATAATTCAGTGAAATAAATTTGGAAAGAGGAAAATAGGGACATGAAGAATTCAGAAGATTAGAATTTGGGAGAACACAAAGAGTGGATGCACCTGCGCCATTGCAGACGATTTTGAGCCATGTCATTCGGGGTCTCTAACCATCGGTTGCTATCATCTCGCGGTCCCCAACCAGGTAGTCTACACCTACCAACATGACTTAGACCACTTGTCAGTGACTTCATGGACTTGTGCCATGTTTTGGTCTGGCCGCCCCTAGCTTTCTTCCAACCTACTCCTATACCACTGAACATCGCACGTCGAGGCAGTCGGTCGTTGGGCATACGTAACACGTGTCCCAACCATCTCAACTGATGAAGTTTCACTACTTCATCAATTGATTTGCTATCCTTACCTAGTACCCGTTTCCTAACAACTGTGTTACTTACTCGATGGTCCCATGATATACGAGCAATGTTTCGAAGACACCTATGATCGAATACTAGTAACCTACGAATATCCTCTACTCTTACCGGCCATGTTTCACTTCCATAAAGTAGGACGGGACGTACTGCTGCACAGTAAACCCGTCCTTTGGTTGATAGACGGATATCTCGCCTACGCCATAAATGACGCAAGTTGGCAAAAGCTAGTCGAGCCTTCTGTATCCGTGCTGAGATTTCGTCACATACCAGACCACAAGGGCTGATGAGACTTCCAAGATAAGTGAAGCGGTCGACACACTCAACTACTTCACTCCCTATCACTAGTTCGGGTGTCGATGTAACCCAATCCTGAAGCAACATTTTGCATTTCGATGGATGGTGAACAGATAGAAGTAGTCGAGAAGTTCGTGTATCTGGGTAGCTGCCTAAGTGCTGGTGGTGGCGTGAGTGATGAGATCGATGCACGTATAGTGAAAGCCAGAGCAGCTTATGCCGCAACAACAGCTTAACGTTTTAGGCACCTGATGTATTTCCTCCTTTCGTCCCTGTTTATGTTCTAATTGTACTTGAACACTTCATTTAATATGTATCTTCATCATTTTTGTGGTCTGTTATAATTGTTATATTCCGGATTAATGATGCCTAAAACATTCTAGTGATCTGTCATTTATTCATTAGTATCTAAAAATTCATATTTACCGGTTGCTTTAACCTTCTCAATTCACTTGAGTATTATCGTAGACCATGTAAGGGAAAACGTTTTTCACAGTCATCATGACTGTGACTTTAGTGCCTCTCATATTCTGCTTAAAGTACAGTACCACTTATCCCAGTCGTCGCGTTTCATTCCATCCCCATTCTGTAAGAAACATGGAGGTTTGCCGAAGCGAAGTTTCGTCTACGTCAATTAGCAGAGTACGAGTACACAAAAACGTTCTGCTAAATCCAAGAAAACAAAAATTTGACATTTAAAAGGACTATTGAAGTTAAATTTCCAGACCAAACTCAATAAGTGTTCATAATGATCTAAAATTGTTGTCCTGTATTAGGAAGCTGTTACGAATAAGTTAATTGTTTTATACCAAGAAAATGAATTGATATTAGATATTGGGAACGCCGCGTTATTTCGAGGGCACGTCACATTAGTCCACGTATATTGTTTCGTGCTGTTGAGGGACGAAATGGTCTCTGTATCACCAACAAAACATGAAATAGTTACAATTTTAAATAAGCTGAAGTCTTTGCCGTGCAACAAGGTACTTTTTGTCATTACTTCATGATATTTTGTACAGCAATGTTTTGACTGTGGTGCTACAAATCCAACATGGGCTAGTGTTACCTACGGTGTTTTTCTTTGTATTGACTGTTCGGCAGTCCACCGTTCACTTGGAGTCCATCTAAGTTTCATTCGATCGACGCAGCTAGATACTAACTGGACTTGGGTCCAGTTGCGCGCAATGCAAGTTGGTGGCAATCAAAATGCGGTAAACATGAATCTTCCACTAATATTTTGTAGCTTACATTCTTCTCCCAAAATAATTGTCGTTCCTTAGATGCGCAGGAAAAATACCAAAGTCGTGCTTCTCAACTTTACCGTGCTAAGCTGGAAAAACTTGCTATTGACGCTGTTAAAACCCATGGTAACAAGGTAACCAGTCACTACCCGTCTTAGTTTGTACAGTTGACTTTGGATCTTGATGAAGGAAAATACAAACGCGATCAGGTGGCTGACTTTTTTGAGGAACATACTGAAAGTGTTACGACTGACATTAGAAATGATGAACCTGTAATGGTGACAAGTGAGTTGTGTACGTGTTTTTAAATTGCATAACTGTACTGATAGATAGCAAAAATATGGTTCATTTATCAATAGTGTTAGTACTTTGCTTTCTATCAGAAATGTATAGAGGCTCTCTTATCTTAATTAGCGACTGCTGGGAACTTTTGCTTGTCCGAAATCTGACACTGTCAGATAACATTTCAACCTGTTTTGTATTGAAAATGAGTTACTCAATGAAGTTTTTCAAATAAAATATCAATGCGTTGCGACAATGTGTTTTAGCGTCAACATCACTTTGTAACCATCAGTACATAAACATAGAACACGAGAGTATTGAGTAAATTAGTTTGGGATTTCTTATATTTAGACTCATCTTCTATATCGTATGCTAAACATTAACCAGACTCGCTACTCCATACACATAACCCATCAATTACGAAAATACTGGCCTGCCTTCTCTTGACGCAATAACGTCAGTAAAACCAAGTCATAAGTACTTCCACAATGTTTTTTCTCAAAACTAAGTAATTATCGTTCATCAAAATTCCTAAATTAGTTAAAAATAAAATCACATTAATTTGTAAAACAGGTTCAGTCGCCTAATAACCTCTTCTTTAAGTCGATCCAGTTTTACATAAGATACGAAATCGGTCTAGTTATACCTGCTTGCTTTTCTCAGGTACTAAAATTATTACGAACTTTTTTAAACATGGAAAATCGAGAACTGAAGCTGTTGTCACGTGAAATAGCCTTTAAGTGTTTTGTGCCATTAATAGCGAAAAATGAGGACTAATTTTAGGATAAAAGGTAATACTAAACATAGTCAATAACTAGACAAGGTGAGGGACACAAAATCTAAGATATGTGAAATGTTTCGGAAATATGTAGGTATAAACGACACCCATCTGTTCTTCTGCAGGCTACTATTACTTATCTTTGTTGACGTTTCTAATACTAGCTATGTTTATATTGGGAACTCATTTTCCGCAAACTTCAGCCAACCAATGCTCAGGTATGGCCGAAAGCGGGGCGGCATCGCCCTCCCTTTCGAAATACTATCACACGGCCACGTGTATACAACCTCTGCCAGAGAAGTCCGACTCACTGCCTTCTCGTGGCGGGGGTTTTGTTTACGAAAATGAATGGACGAAAAGCGAATGTCCGGCGCTTCGAATGGATTCAAAACCAATGTTGCACATGGGCTCCAGTATCCCGTGGGAACGAATGGCGTATGAACCAATTTCTTGGTCACCGGCTACCATTGGACTGCATCTCCTCACAATGCTCCACTGCCTTGTGTGTCAAACCTTTAGATCAAAGGCTCGGGATGTGGCCCCCCTAGGAAAACCACCTGCTTCGCTCTGGGCGCCCAGTTAGTATCACAGCCCAAACACAAAATGAACTATCGATTTATGGAAAATATATATCGACTCGTTCCATGACGTTGGTACACTCTAGTTCTAAGACTTTTGTAAACAACGCTGTCAGTTCCTTAGCCAGAAAGCCACCACCTCTTTGAAAAGGGTCGGAGGTAAGTCATCTGGCCCCGGTGATTTGTAGCGCTTCAAGAGTTGGACTTCCATGCGGACTTCCGTCCCATTTGGTGGATCAGTCGTCACCGGCCATGGAGGGCAGAACAGTCTGATCGATGTTGTTGGAGCAGCGGACCAGTCGAACTGCACTTCGAAGAATTCTACCCATCGTCCAAGACGTCGGTGGATGTTAATGATTGGCATCCCGTCGTCCTCGCAGATTGTTTTGCTCACACCAGACTTCTTGCTGCCAGTGGCTCGGATGGGTTGGAAGAGCTTCCGGCAATTATCAGATGCAGCTTCTGCTTCCAGCTCATTAGCACGCTCCGACCATCAAACGTCTCGGTCCTTACGCAAGCTTTTCGCGATTTCACTACGTAAAATCCTTCGTTTGTGGTCAAACTTACGGTCACCCGGAGTAGACCGACGGGCTTCGATGAGTTGTAAGGAACCTGAAGAAACCCACTGCTTATAAGCGAGACGTTTCGCGAAGCTGCAAGCGGCTTTACTTGCCATTTTGATGGCGTCATGCAATTGCAACCGATGCTCATCTATACTTTTCGGTGGAATGGTAGCCAGCCTAGAAGCTAGCTCGGATCGATACTTACTAGCAACAGAAGTTGCAACCAACATCAATCCTTTGCTGGCGGTCACTTCGTTGGCCACTGAAAACAAGGTAAGATTGGCGCAGACCAGGGCATGATCAGAGTCCAGATAGGTACTCCAAAAGGAGCGGCAGTCTTGTACACAACTACACCAGCGGTAGCTGATCGCGATGTGATCAATCTAAGTCAAGGCTTGAGATGCAGGGGGAGGACGCCAGGTGGCACATCGGCGATGACTGTGCCGGAAGTTAGTGCTAGCCAGAAACAGGTTGTGGTCTGTGCACAGTTGCAGTAGATGGTCCCCGTTATCTGTCCTACGACCAACAAGTCCCCATCGGCCACCTAAACAATTCTCTTCTGTGCCTAGACTCCCAACCTGAGCATTCAAGTCGTCGGCTAGTACTACAATATCTGTCAAACGCACTTTCTGTAGAATAACAGATAACTGGTGGTAGAATTCATCCTTGATTGCATCCGGGCTGCAATCTGTCGAGGCATAAGCGAAAATGATGAAAAGACATCGTTCCTCACACCGATTTCTTCTCACTTTGATGGAACTTTTTAATCTAACAGCACGTAACCGATTGTTAATGGAGATCCAGTCGATTAGTGCTGCCTCAGCTCTAGCGCTTAGTGCGACACCAACGCCAGACGAAGATGCCACAGGGTAACCGGATAAGCGCACGTAAAACAAGCTTTTCAAAGCGACAGATGGAGAGCGAATTCGTAGTACTTCAGTAGTGTTGAATACGGGTCTCGGATAGACAACAAACGTCGATATTAAGACTTTCCAAAGACAGCTAGCCCTATCTGTTGTCCGACCTGCATAAGTGTGCGAACGTTGAAGGCAGCCAGTTTGAATGGTGCATGTGGTTTCAGAAAAACTGCTTCAGCATTCGTGTTTGGTGGTAGCATTCAATTTTCAATCAGGCAGTGGCTCGAGAACGTTAGATAGAGCCGAAATTCCACCATAGATGAGCTGCTGTATAAGTTGAAAAATAAGGATAAACAGAGTGGGAATAAAAGAGAGTAAGTGACGTACTAAATAATAATAATATTGGTTGTTTGATTGTTAATAGAATCGTAAATATAATTTTCAGTAAATATCGGCATTTTCATTTTATTTGTGCGTGGGCTGTGATACTGTCCGGGTGCCCAGACTGAAGCAGGTGTTATTCTTAGGGGGCCACACCCCGAGCCTTTGATCTAAAGGTTTGACACACAAGGCAGTGGAGCATTGTGAGGAGATGCAGTCCAATGGTAGCCGGTGACCAAGAAATTGGTTCATACGCCATTCGTTCCCACGGGATACTGGAGCCCATGTGCAACATTGGTTTTGAATCCGGTCGAAGCGCCGGACATTCGCTTTTCGTCCATTCATTTTCGTAAACAAAACCCCCGCCACGAGAAGGCAGTGAGTCGGACTTCTCTGGCAGAGGTTGTATACAAGTGCATTATTTTCCGACGCTGGGACTGGTTGGAAAAAGCGGAGAGGTGGTCAGTGTATGGCATGGTGTCGTGGTATGAAAGAAAGTTACAAAGGGCTGGCTTCTGTTGGCTCTCCACGACTCCCTGGCTGGGCTCCGAGAGATGGTGCAACACAGTGGCTAGAGACGTTATCAGATATGGCTCAGAATAGAAGCCAGTGGCGAACCTGCTGCAACCTCCCTTTACTTTTTTCATGAAAAAATGGTTGTTTCTTTCTTAACTGAAAGATTTTTTCTGTTTCCCCCATTATTACTATTATTATTATTTTTAATTACTATTACACTACTTTACACTAATCTGTTCGTTATTGTTCTTTTTTCTCTCTTCGAATTCTGGTTGTTTTGTGTGGCGCATATATAATTGGTGCCCTCTTCTACCAATATTTATATGTTCAAATAAATAAAAATAAATAATTCCAAGACCCGAATACTGTTTCCATCAGTTCAATTAATGTTCTTGATATACTGCTCTCCTTTACTTTGAATTAATCACAACCTATTAAACCCCACAAAATGGAGTTTGAAACCAATATAGCATTCCTGTTGTTGAGGGTTATCAGCCTACTGGAGGGTAGCTGAGTTGGCAGTTGCATTCCGCAACTTGTCACGTCTCCCAGTTCACGCATGCTTGTAAGATATGGACATATATGTGAAGATAAGGTTGATCTGAGCCATGTTGAGGGATGCAGACTTCCAGATAGGGCCGAACGTAATACCTAAAATCAATTATTCAAGGGATTGTATGACATAGGACTAAATTTTTCATAGGAGTGCAATTGGAACAGTTCCTCATGGATTTTTGAATTTCTAACTAAGTGTTAATCCCAACTTTTATTTTTTTAGATTTAAATTGTCAACTCTGTATTTGTATAGAATGCAAGATAGTTGGTGACGAATTCAAACGATTTGTGCGAAAACTCAAAATTGATCTGATGATATTTAGACTCCATAAACACTCCTTGACTATCTGTACTAAAATGATTTTCTCTGCTTTAGGAAGGGGAAAACTATTATTGTCGATCGTCGTACAGTAGTAAAAGTACGACTTCAGAATTAAATGATCTGCCGTTTGAAGATAGTTTTACTAGTTGAACCCGTTAGCCTTTATTTATTTGAACACTTAACTTTATTATCTTATCACCAACCACGAAAGTATATGACGTACCATACTATCCACTTATAGCTGGTTTATAATTCGGATGCTATAAAAGTGCAAAAGTTCTAATATTCAGCACGTGTTCTAGTCGCGAAGTGTTTTCGCGAATTAAGATCCCGTGTTTGTAGACCCACAAACCCCCTACTATATTGAAGGTATTCAATGTATCTCAGCAATATAAAATTTATTTAGGGGTGTCGATATTTTCTTTTAATTCTTTTCTGCTCATCAGGAATCATCGACTTTCCATATTTATTCCGCTGAATGATGACTGCTGAATATAGTTGAAGAAAAGCTCTGGAATAAAACAAACTCGTTTCTTTTTCTATAAATCTTGTTTTATCGCTTTGGAAAGGTTCGTAAAGATAACAGTGTATGATAATTTCCGTATTCCTCAACTTCTAACCAATATTTTACTCCATTGGATGGAAAATACTATTCTACAACTCTAGAACGATCCTGATAGTTGACTTCATTTTACTGGGACAACTATGAAAATTTTTACTATATTTCCTTCTGTTGCACACTTGTAACTATTTACGTAGATGCATTTTAGGAAACTTGAACCAGTCGTCAACGTTGATATAAGTGCTGGTTATGGAAATATCGACATCCTGAAAACGTCTTGCAATAAATATTTAGCTGTTTCAAACTATATAATTATTATTAAGGTATATTTATCAACTCCGTTCTTAATGGTAAAGTACTGAATAAGTTCATCCCTGACAAGATTTACTATCATTTTTAACGATTGTTCTTGTAAACCTTCACTTTTTTGATTGCTTGATTGTCTTGTTGATATTTCTATATATATTGGATTCAAAGAAATTATGACCTAGTGATATCGTTTACTAAGATCTATGAGTCCTATTTCATACACACTAGTGGAAGTAATTTGTCTATTTACAAGTACCTCAATTACTTGCGCATTATTAATACCTGGCTGGTTGGGCTAATGGGATCTTCAAAAGACAGACTTCGTTTTTCAGTGAAGATAATGCCATCTAATTAATAATCTATGTCATATAGTATCCTTCTGAAAACTAATCGTTGACCGTACTGATTTTCGCTATCTACCATGGCGCCCATCAGATATAATAATTGTTTGCTGTGAAAATCCAAGACTTTCATACCCACCACTTTTCTTCATAGAATGATGTACATAAACAACACCACACGTTTTCTAGGCCTAATTCGGCTTCTGGATTAATAAAGATGCGACAAAATGTTATATTATTCCCCACTGTTGCACTGTTTGATCAAAGTAGTGTATGGAAACATTTATCTTTATATACTATGCGGATAATTTGGAAACATGACTATTATTCTAATTTATTTCAATCTATTGAAGAGTTCTACGGAATTACGGTAAAATGGCATAAATAGTCCAGACTTTGGAGTCTTTATGCATCGAAAATAGCGTAACGTGATATGCTGATTTGTCAGAAGTTATAAACAGGTTTAATTTGTCTGATATGATTTGGTGATCATCGTATCCTGTGATGAAACCCTGTTCACCGATTCTGATTCTCCTTTAGACTATTGCTGTATAGTTGTCAAATGAATAAACGATTGTTTTTAAATAAATTCACTACAACTGTCTATAGCCAATAATAAATATTAACGTTTTTAAACCCTAAAATCATGTTCAAATAAAACTGTTAAATACGTTTTTCGTATTTGATAGAAATGAATCTGGAACAGTCAGTTGGGCCTACCGTTGATAATCTATTCAATTCTCCTGTATCTGAACCTGGTCCTACAAAAATACCTTCTGTAATTGGAACTAGAAAACCGAATACTACACGGGTAATTTCACCATAATACATGACTATGAATAACTTGTCTTATTGTAAATGCAGACTAGTAAAAATTGTATTTTAAAACAAAAGTATGCGATACCAATCAGTTTATTTACCTGAATCTCCCGGCTGCTGATTGAATGAAATTAAAAATCGGTCTGTGACAAAAATAAATCTACCATATATTACTTCTATATTCACTCCTCTTGTTCTCACGAGTTTTACTAGCAGCTCATTGTCATCCACTTTATTTAATCAAGTAACATTAACTTTTTTATTGTACGCCTTGATTACCAAGGTGTTTGGTGTACAACTCAATAAATGGATGGGAATAAAGATAAATTGTATTGAATTCTACTACTAGCCAAAACTAAATAGTGTATTATCAAGAATCCAGCCTCACTATTTTCTCTCTCCACAGTTCACAAGAGCTAGAATTTCTATAGCAATTATTTATCCTCTCACGTCCTCAATATAACATTTATGAACCAATTTTTAAGTTTATAAGTTCCGTCTCATTATACTGTTTGTATAACATTTTGCAGTCATGTCTATATTACTCCGAAACAGTAACGTTGATTCTTTAAAGTTGGTCCTTTGACATTTATCAGATTCATACTTAGGTATTATTTATTTAAAGTGCACTCAGAAGACAGTACTTAAATCTACAAACTTAGTTTATTCTAATAACTTGGATATATTACTAACTACTTGTTCCGTTGTCGACTTGATTCAGGATGGTACTCGTCACAGATTGACCTCAATTAGGGTACCGCGAAACCATAAGATTTTGTATTTGACCCCGGATGGGATCGTAAGTGAACACTGACGGGGTACCGTACTTGAACAAACGAACCCCCTGATTTCTAATAGTGCTTCGACTGAGGTCAATCTATAACGATTAATACCTTCAGACTAAACTGATTTCCACAAGACCAACTTAAAATAATGGATTTCCCAACACGTTCTTGCTTGAACCAGTCATATCTGAACTTTTGTAGGTTGGACCTTAGTCGTTTTACCCTACATCTTTCCCTATCGTTTAATTTCCGTTCTATCCATTCATTTTAATAATTCTTCGAGTTGCCTAATTAAATCCTAGCCCGTAACATTTGGTGCACCCTCCACAAATTTTAAACATTTCCCAGATATGGACTAGCGGTTGAATATGTTTACCAACTGCTAACCTTAATCCATCTGTTTCAAACCAGTGAGTTTTCAAAAACCCAAGGTGTGCATTTGATTAGCCTTCTTTTCGTTGTAGTTCAAAGCTTTGCAGTTACAAGTAAAGTTAATATTTTATAGAAATCATTGCCATCAATCATCTACCAACCGTTCTTCATTTAAATATGTTATTGAATACCTATTATAAACATAAACTACACGGAATTTCTTACGTATCTCTGTTCTTTGTAAACATGTTGCTAGCCAAACATTTTCGACGAATAGCCTGTTAAAATTATTATCATCGTTATCCATTTTAGCTTTCATGTGGTCAGTTCTCGCTTTATTAACAGTTTCAGAATACAATGGATTTTTTATGTAAGGTGTTTGTTAATTGTTGCGCTCAGAGAAATTGTGATCGATTTTAATCCTATGAAATTAGCAATTCACCGCCTCATAGTTAATAATCTGATTCATAGTCTTGTGTATCTTAAAAATGTGCGAACTGGTTCAGTCAGTCAGTAACAACGTAGAACTTCGTACGTACGTACATCAGTTCGAGTTGCCACACCACCTTAGCACAGAGATGCAGTTGTCGATTCATATCCCGTAGTGGTAGATGTAGCAAGAGTGTAAGCAGTAATCGGGAAGATTAGGGTTTGGAGATGTTATTTAAAGAGTATAATTCAGTGAAATAAATTTGGAAAGAGGAAAATAGGGACATGAAGAATTCAGAAGATTAGAATTTGGGAGAACACAAAGAGTGGATGCACCTGCGCCATTGCAGACGATTTTGAGCCATGTCATTCGGGGTCTCTAACCATCGGTTGCTATCATCTCGCGGTCCCCAACCAGGTAGTCTACACCTACCAACATGACTTAGACCACTTGTCAGTGACTTCATGGACTTGTGCCATGTTTTGGTCTGGCCGCCCCTAGCTTTCTTCCAACCTACTCCTATACCACTGAACATCGCACGTCGAGGCAGTCGGTCGTTGGGCATACGTAACACGTGTCCCAACCATCTCAACTGATGAAGTTTCACTACTTCATCAATTGATTTGCTATCCTTACCTAGTACCCGTTTCCTAACAACTGTGTTACTTACTCGATGGTCCCATGATATACGAGCAATGTTTCGAAGACACCTATGATCGAATACTAGTAACCTACGAATATCCTCTACTCTTACCGGCCATGTTTCACTTCCATAAAGTAGGACGGGACGTACTGCTGCACAGTAAACCCGTCCTTTGGTTGATAGACGGATATCTCGCCTACGCCATAAATGACGCAAGTTGGCAAAAGCTAGTCGAGCCTTCTGTATCCGTGCTGAGATTTCGTCACATACCAGACCACAAGGGCTGATGAGACTTCCAAGATAAGTGAAGCGGTCGACACACTCAACTACTTCACTCACTATCACTAGTTCGGGTGTCGATGTAACCCAATCCTGAAGCAACATTTTGCATTTCGATGGAGAGAATCGCATCCCGAAAATGCTTGCATTGTTGCTTAGAGTGGTCAGAAGACTCTGCATTTTGTCAGCGTCTTCACCAAATAAAACTATGTCATCAGCATATTCTAAGTCAACAAGTGAACCTCCCGGTAGAAGTTCAACCCCTGGAAATTTAGATGAGGAGAGTGTTATCTCTAAAAGTACGTCGACAACAAAGTTGAACAAGAATGGGGAGAGTGGACAACCCTGACGAACACCACTTGAGGTAATCAATTCTGATGACAGTTCACCATAAGCTCTCACTCTACCAGTTGTGTTCGAGTAGAGAGCCTGAATAAGGTTAATGTACTTCTTTGGTACTCCTTTCAGTGACAAACACTGCCATAGAACCTCACGATCAACAGAGTCGAATGCCACCTTAAGGTCGAGAAATACTACCATTGTGGGGCGTCTGAATGTGTATCTGTGTTCTAGAACCTGACGTAGTGTGAATATCTGATCTATACAACCACGTCCAGGTCGAAAACCGGCCTGGTTTTCTCTAGTCTGCTCTTCACGAGCTTTGATTAGGCGTCGAAGTATTATTGAGGCTAATATTTTAGACACTATATTAGTCAAACTGATTCCTCTGTGATTGTCACAAGAGGACTTTTGTCCTTTCTTATAGACTGGCACAATCAGTGATTGAGGCCAGTCAGATGGAATTACGTCCAGTTCCCAAATTCTACCTAAGACCTCGGTTAATCTCATTGCTAATACTGGACCACCATCCTTAAAAATCTTAGGAGTAAACCTGTCAGGGCCTGCTGCTCTCCCTCGCTTCAGATTTCCTATGGCTTTTTCAACTTCGTTGAGAGACGGAGGACCTACATTAACTTGCCATTGCGATCATTGCGTAGACTTCTTGTCAGCTTGCGCTTAAGCTGACTCCGCTCTTCATTATGTTCAGTGCCAGGTGGAATGAGTTTCCGAGCATCTATCAGTGCGATAGATGCTGCTGAGATCCAGTGTTGCTCTCTAACCTTCTGGTTTACCTTACTAGCAGATATCATTGCTGTTTCCACAGCTTTTCGGATATCATTCCATGCTGCATCGGGGTGGGCATCACATACATGGCTGCCTAACTGTTTTCCTAGTTGTTCCTGAAATATACTCTTAGCTTGACTATCATTAAGTAGACCTCTAAGAGGTTTCCTTGCAGCGTTTTTCCTACGTCCAGTAAGACGCAAGCAAATACGCGCTCGCACTAGAGCATGATCTGAATCTAAGCATGTGCTCCAGAATGAGCGACAGTCTTCTATCGAGCCCCTCCATCGGTGGCTGATAGCGATGTGATCTATTTGGGTCCAACGTTGGGACGAATTAGGGGGTCGCCATGTTAAAAGATGTTCTTCTTTATGCTTAAAGTTAGTATTTGCAGGCGGTTATCTGAGCATAGCTGCAACAGACGGTCGCCATTATCTGTTCTTTGAGCCACGACATCATAAGATCCACCTAGGTGTCTTTCCCTTTCGCTTAGTTTACTTACTTGAGCATTCAAGTCACCTACCACGATTACTACATCAGAGCGCCTATCTTTTCGGAGAAAGTCGGAAAGCTTTCTGTGAAATTCATTATTCACATCATCTGAACTGTAGTCAGTGGGAGAATAGGCGGAAACGACGAGTGTCCCTATCTTTCCGGATTCTTACTGTTCCGTTCAGTCGGACAGCGCACAAACGGCTGTCTACTGGGATCCACTTTAAGTGAGGTAGTTCTGCCCTAGGACTCAATGCTATACCTATGCCGGCGAGGCCACGGGAAGCAGAATCAGGGCTTCCAGATACACGAAGCGTAAATTGAGTCGGTTCTTTATTTTGGCACGATGAGGTCAGATGAATGACGCTACTTGGATCCTACATGCGCGTTTCGGAGACGCAGCACACATCGATGGCGCAAGATTCTAAAGTCCTAGCTAAGGAAGCCTGTTGTCCTATTTGTTAAAGTGTTCGTACGTTAAAAGCTCCTACGTGTAGTTTAGAGCGTGGTTTCAGGAGACCAGGAATAGAGTTCCACGTACTCGAATCGTTTGCCCTAGCGGTGCGAGGTGATAAAGAGACGTGAGGAGGGTTAGTCATGGAAATAAGAGAGGTATTAGGAGGTGTAGGAAGGATTTGAATGTGACCAACTTGGTCTCGCGTGCTGTTACGGGTATGAGGGCTGGTGTCACTTCCCGGCTGCCCACACCGTGGAAGGGTATTTCTTGAGGAACCTGAAAAAGAAATTGGATTAGTGTTGGTCTTGACGACCTGGGAGCGTGACCGCAGTGCCTAAGGGACAACTGCTTGAGGCCGGTCGCCCACGGCCTTTTCGTGGAAGGTTTTTGACGTGTTAGATCCGTTCTTCAAAGGGCCTTACCGCCGGAGACGGAAATTCGTGAGGTAAGGTGTGACATTTTTAGGGTCGACGTTTTCTAACCCCACCCCTCCTTGTGGGAAGGCAGCATCGCTGTCATGCTGGTTGTCTGAGGGAAACACTTTACTGCTGTCACACCTCTCTACAGTCAGCAGTACGACTTCGCCCTCGGACCTTGAGTTGCTGCTTTTAGTCTTACCGTTCTCCAATCGACCTGCCTGGCACAGTAGAACCTACAGGAACATATGTTCCAGCCAATATAGCTCGGTTGGGTCATCACGATAGGCAAGCCCGACCACCGCGTCAAGGTAGCAGCTTTGGTCGGGAAGTAGTAGTCGAGAAGTTCGTGTATCTGGGTAGCTGCCTAAGTGCTGGTGTGGCGTGAGTGATGAGATCGATGCACGTATAGTGAAAGCCAGAGCAGCTTTTGCCAATTTGGGCCATCTTTGGCGCCTTTGTGATGTCAGTCTGACTGTAAAAGGTCGGATCTACAATAGCGTCGATGAGAGCAGTTTTGCTCTATGCTTGTGAAACCTGGACCCTCGGCGTTGAAAATGTTAAACAACTCTCTGTATTTGATCATCGTTGTGTCTGAAGGATTGCTGACATCCAGCGGTAACAATATGTTAGAAATACAAAGGTTCGGCATCGCGTGTTCGGGCGCAGAGACGATAATTCAATTGGTGTCACCACTTTGAAACATCGATTTCGGTGGTTTGGACATGTTCTACGAATGTCGTCCCAGAGAATTCCACGTCGCGCATTATTTTCCGACGCTGGGACTGGTTGGAAAAAGCGGAGAGGTGGTCAGTGTATGGCATGGTGTCGTAGTATGAAAGAAAGTTACAAAGGGCTGGCTTCTGTTGGCCCTCCACGACTCCCTGGCTGGGCTCCGAGAGATGGTGCAACACAGTGGCTAGAGACGTTATCAGATATGGCTCAGAATAGAAGCCAGTGGCGAACCTGCTGCAACCTCCCTTTACTTTTTTCATGAAAAAAATGGTTGTTTCTTTCTTAACTGAAAGATTTTTTCTGTTTCCCCCATTATTACTATTATTATTATTTTTAATTACTATTACACTACTTTACACTAATCTGTTCGTTATTGTTCTTTTTTCTCTCTTCGAATTCTGGTTGTTTTGTGTGGCGCATATATAATTGGTGCCCTCTTCTACCAATATTTATATGTTCAAATAAATAAAAATAAATAATTCCAAAAACATAAATTTTACATTGCAAGGGCACCACAGTAATAGTTCCTTCACATAAACAATCGGTATTCCAGTGTTCATCTTATTTATGTACTTGCAGATAAAATTAATGGTCTCTGTGAGTGGAACATTAGTGAATAATGATTCAACATCCAGAGATAGCATAATTTTATCACTTACATTCACTTATTTTATGTGCTCGATAAATTCAAAAGTATCACGTACGGAATGTTTACAAACGCGTTTTCTAACGGGTTCCAGGAGATTTGCCAGCCACTTTGCTATAGAGTGGTAAGGGGATCCTGACATATCGAGAATCGGTCTAAGAGGTATGGCATGTTTGTGTATTTTTGGCAGACCGTATAATCACGGTATTATTGATGCTGTTGGTTTTATGTGCTCAAAGACCTGTTCGTTGATTAACCGCTCATTTTTCGTTCTCTTAAGAACTTCAATCAGTTGCTTTTCTATAATCTCAGTCTTGTTTTTCTCATTGATTGGTTTTAAGAATTGGGTGTCATCTGATAATAACGTTGTCATTTTTTCAACATAAATCTTGCGATCAAGCAGTACTAAACCAGCACTTTTATCTGGACGTGTTATAATCAAGTCTTTCTTATTTTTAAGTAGTTTCATCATATTTATTGTCACAAACGATAAAGATATCATCTATGTATCTTTTATACAAGTAAAATCTTTCTATAGCCGCTTCCAGTTGATTGTTTTCTAAACTGGCCATGAAACAATCTGCAAGTAACGGACCTAAAGGGGATCCCATTGCTATACCGTCCTTCTGTCTATAAATATTATTATTATTATTTTCCAGCCGGCCAATGTTCACCAATAATCTGAAAGATAAATTATCGCATCTGACCAACTCAATGTGCATTTACCTGCTCTTGTGGAGCTAAGTATATAGGTCGTTCGATGCGTACTTTATCCAAAAGAATTCAAGAACATTATCCGGCGTGGCTAAAAAGAGGAGGTAACGGCTCAATAAGAAGTTCTATAATCGAACACCTTGTGAACACAGGCCACTCAATCAAGACAGACTCTGCGTTCAAAGTCATCTACAACGTGAGTAGAAGTCTTCCTAAGACAGTCAGACTGCATCTTTTCTGCATTGCCGAAGCAATAACCATACATCTGGAAAAACCAGAATTGTGTGTGCAAAAGAGTCTGTTACAACCTCTTCTTCTACCATGGTCTTAATGTATTAAAATTTTCTCCCTTTTTCATACTCTTGTTCCTTTACAGCCATCTGCTTCACCTTCCATCTTCCCTTTAAATCTACCCTCAACTGGTTTGTTTTTATTTCCACGATCATTCCGATTACATTTCATCTCTGTTTCGACATTTTGTTTTATCATGCTGAGCCATCCTTTCCCAATGATAATTTCCCTATTTATCTTTTGATGAATACTTAAGCCAATAACAATCAAACGATTATTAAACTTTCCTTGTTTTAAATTTTTTTATTTTTTAATACCTTTGTTTATTTAACCTCACTGTCACCATGTATAACAGAAGTTTATTATCAGTATTATCATCCCTTAAAATAAGTATATATATTTGCGATTGTACAGCTTTGAAAATGAATTTGCCGAAAAGAGAATTCTTCGCTGAACTAATCTTTCTTATTTAACATATTCTGAAACACGTTACTATATTTACAATACACAAAATGAAGATGTATCGTTTAATTCCAATGCTTTTTGCGGTAAGATTGTGTAAAAACTTTCTAATAATGAAGTTTATATGTCTGCCCTCAGATGCTCTGGTACGGCCGAGAGTGGGGAGAGTCCGTCTACCCTCTCGGAATGCTCTCACATTGCCACGCGTATATAGCCTCTTCCAGGGAAGTCCTGCTCACTGCCTTCTCGTGGCGGGGGTATTTACGTAAATGAGAAGACGAAAAGCGAATGTATGGCACTTTAACCGGGTTGGTGGACATGGGTAGTCCATCTAGGCGAGTTGGAAAACCTTAATTCCAAACCAGTGATGCACATGGGCTCTAGGATTCTGAAGGAACAAATGGCGTATCGACCAGTCGTTGGTCACCGGCTACCATGGGACTGCATCTCCTTACGATGCCCCATTGCCTTGTAGATCAGACCTTTAGGTCAAACGCTCGGGGTATGGTCTCCTAGGAAAACCACCTGCTTCGGTTTAGACACCCGAGCAGTATCACAACCCTCACACAAATCAATTGAGATTTGTGTGGCGCATTTGTATTTGGTGCCTCCTTGTACCAATATCTATGTGTTCAAATAATAATAATTATTATATGTCTTTCACATAAATTTTTTCAATTGTATTTCTTCATATTTCATACGTTTCTGAACGGATTATATCCCTTTTCTTCTGTAAATTCAAATGTTTCGTTCAGTCTAGTGCTAAAAAAGGTGGATTGGGGGCATCAAAGGTGAAAGCTGATTTTTCTGCCATCGTTTCGGCTGCCGAACATGCTGATATTGAAATGAAAGGTCAGATTCGTTCGACTGACCAGGATTTAGAAGATAAGGAAAAACGTAATGAAGAACGACTGTAAGTGTTTCCTACTAGAATATCCGGTTATATATATATTTAAAAAGGATTAGCTGACTAAAAGCTTATTTCGTAACTACTATATTTTAATAAGTATCACCCCATAAGCTGAAAAATGCATATGACATTATTAACGGCGTAGGTTAAACTGATTGCAAATTAAATTTTTTAAATTTTTTTTAGTGCATCACTTCGGTTAGCGTATAAAGATATTACCGATGGATGTGAAAGGCAAGACATCCCGAACTTGAAGTCTACAGACCCTCAACGTGCCAAACAAGCTGAACGCCTTGGTATGGGTAAAATAGGTACAGGCAACAGGTAAGTTTGGAAAAAAATAAGTTTTTCTCCTTCTTTCACTTCATAAGTTCCGAATCGCTTTGCGAACTGCAAATATATTAACTGAATTATAGCGTATTTCTTTCTCTTTCCTCTACTTCCAGCTAATATAAATTCTGGTCTCATTATTTTATGGGATTTGATACAAGATTAGTTTAACCATTGTTACTTTTCAATAGTTGAGATCATGAGTCAACTGAAGCTAGACCACCATGAAAAACCTGGAAGCACTGAACGGCCGTTTCGTCCCATTGTGAAACTCCTTAGTAGTACGCATCCACGATCCACTGATTTCTTCCGTCGTTCGTGGAGTGCCATCTAAAGGAATGTCTGTATGTGCGGCTTCGATGTCCGATGGGTTCAGTGGGACTTGTCTGTTCGAGAGTTCCTCGAATTATTCCATCCATCTGTTCTTGAATCTCGATGATTGGCTTTCCTCCTTTGTCCTTGACTGGTTTCTCTGTTTTACTATATTTCCCTGCTAGTTTCTTCGTCTATGAAAATTATGTGTATAGTGCTATTCATATCAAGAAAATTTTCGAAATAGATTAAATCCTAAATAAAAAAATATATAGCTGTATAAGGGTTGTTAACGGCTATATTCTAAATAGTTCATTAACTATTTTTTAATGGTTTGCACAGAGTTACTGACAATTCAATTCAGTCATGCAAGCTAATCATTCATGCTTAAAATCTCTGTAACTGAGTAGTTGATTCAACAAGTGACTTTCTTCAGTAAGGCAAATACGCTCTAGCTCTTTTACGTGTAGAATGTAACTCATATTAATTAATATAAGCCCAGTGTGCTGAAACAATCTACCAACTAAAGCAGAAAACTAGCGCTAGTACCTGTATTTATGCATATAATCGTACACTTGCTAAGTGAGACTATAATTTATTATTTTATGGGCGACCTTTGAGCGATGCTAGACTGATCTTGAGAGTATCCACTTGATAACTAAGACCAAATGTAGATTATAAACCTGTGTGGGGAGTTATAATTATGATTTACATTTGATGGTTAAGGTTGAGAATTATATTTAAGGTTTTCATCACGAACTGACATCAGCCATAATGCCAAAACTCTTTTTAGCCAAATTAACGAGTGAATTTCGCTCCAAAACCCAAGACCTGTTGTCTTATACCTGATTGGTTCGTCCATAAATTATAGTCTCGCCACTTGCTACAAAGGTGATCCAATACAACAATCATGTGTGCATGATGTAAACTGAGGTTTAAAAATCTATCTCTCTTGATCTAACTATGAACAGTTATTTTCGTGAAAAATAATACCAGTTTTAAACAAATTTTCCTTGTGTTTAAACGTACCATATGATTTTATTTAAGAAAATTCAGACTAGGTAATTTTCAAATTATTGCGCATTGTTTACTTTTCTTGTTTCTAAACGACTTGACAACACTTATGATGTGGTTGTATTTGATCATTTCACCGATGGCTAAGTAGTTTCTGTCAATGTCGCAACTGTACATTAGTGTGTGATAATGAAAATACTTCCTAAATTATCAAAACAACAATTTAATCCCTTCACTTGAACGAGTATCCACTAATATATATATCCATTTTTTGTAGAGAAATATCGCACTCAGCATTTGCAAATGTTCAAAAAATAGAGCAAGAAAACTCGGCTCCCACCCACACTTCATCGCTAAGTTCAAACTTGGACCCTTTCTTCATTTCAAGTTACAGTAATAGAGACCGTGATACACGCAATTTTTTCGATTCTGGAGATGATAATTTATTCGGTTTGTGACAGTTTTGGTTTTTGCCATTAGGTTTTTATACTATTCTGTGGTAAATATCAGGAATTCAGTAATGGTGATTAATTAAAAACTGTATTTGATAGTTTTATACAATTTTAGCGTTATGTAATACACATATAAAAGTAGCTGAAGTTTTGGCCATATGTACTTCCTAAACTATTTGCATTTACTATTATTATGGTGCTCCTCAGACCAACTTATAGCTAGTGGTTCTGATTGTAGTGCATTTTTTAAAATGAACGAATTGTTACCTTCACATTCTTATTATGTAAGTTTCTCTTTCCACTAAAGTTTGTTAATATGTGATTTTCTCACGTAATGCCGTGTTGTTTACTTCCTAAAGGAGGCTCTGCGACGTATGGTATGAATGGCGGATGGTCAAAAAATAAATCAAGGGACAATGACTGGGATGGGCATTTTTCAGATCCTTTTAATCAAAAGCCAAACAGAACACGTGATTTGTCTACTGTTACTGATGAATTTCCAACTAAATCACCCAGCAAACAGCCTACATCTCTTTCGTCTACACAATCAGAAACTAATCCAGATCTAAGTGAATTAATGAAGAAGTTTGCCAATGCGACTTCTATATCGTCGGATGCGTTTTTTAACCGAAATGATGTAAGTCTAAATGGACTAATATGTTTATCTTTGGTTTTTAAGTTCACATAATTTATATCTGACAATCCTTGAAGATTCCTTACATGCCTACGTTTCTCACAGAAATTGGTAGTTTGAAGAATCCATTTATATCGTAATCATGAAAGGTTACATTACTTATCCCTATACTTTTGTAAGATGTATATTTAGCTGGACACCGTCTACAGAATTAAGATAATTAAGCGTGTTTTCATGTCAAAGATTTGTCTGAACAGCGAGATTGTTTCGAAAATTCTTTCTATTATTAGATGACAACATCTGAAATGACTGACGGGATGCAGAAATACGTGATAGTTGACTTGGTTCCTCCCTTTACTCTCACACTCCTTTAGAGTCACACCAGATTTTTTGTGTATAATAATTTCTGTCTTATCAGAACTCATTAATTTTCATCCTATATCTTCGGTTAGTTATTGATATGTTTGTTTTGTTTACTGATTTCCAATATTAATATTATAATTCAAGATGCTCATTTTTCCTCAGATTCAATGGCTGCCACGTGTTGACTTACAACGATATGAACAACCAAATGTTTTTGAGCTGTTAACTCAAATGTTCATAACTCACAAATGACCATTCTTTACGTAAAGCCGCGAAATTTTCTATTAACTGGCTCCGAAGCTGTGGATAAATTTTAACATACGAATATCACAACATCACCTTTCGCTTATTATTTTCTAACCACTATTTTGTTCAACTAAGTTGGACTGATAGATGATGACAATTAGAACAATTGATCTACAACCAAATGTCACCTGTTGTAGATTAAACGTTTTGATTTACAATGTGAATGTGTTTTAGATTGGTAATATAAATGAATGTTAATCAATCAGTGAAATGTGATAATACAATTTGGTTGAGTAATAGCTATGTATGAGGTAAAATTATTGACACAAACCTCTCAAACAACAAATAGCAAAAGAGTAAAATAAATCCCCAGCAGATTAGGCTTTTTCTTTGGTAAAATAGCCTGTCTATTTTCAAAATACTAACACTTAGATAAATGAGTTAGCGCTACAAGTGATTGAATGACATCAATTTAGGATGTGTTGCTAATGGCTTAACCGTCTCAGTCATGTTACGTTATTTTTATACTATCTGTCATAGCTAGTTTGGTCCGACTAAGTATTTTCCAATAAAAAGCCCTCAGTAAGTTGACCTATTTCTTTCTACATATTACAATGACAGATACTATGAAAAAATCTCTTGATTAGCAGAGTCGAATAGTGCCTTCTGTCCAAAGAATATGGATGTAATCAAGGAGGAACACGTATTCCAGTTTATATAAACCTCTGTGACATTATAAGAAACAAGAGTAGCATCTATATTTGAAATTGCTGCAAATTGTGTGAAAGTTTTATTAACAATTGTTTCTATAGATCAAATTATCTCGCTTATTCTTAATAGACAAGTTGCCTACGTCATTCTCTCTAGAAAACTAATAAAATATCTTTTTCTTTCTGTTCACATGTTTTTAAGAAGTTCAATTCGTCGTAATTGAGTTATCATTATGTAAAAACTATGTTCTTTGGAAGGTGATAGTTGAATTAATCAGCCTTTATGTTTGTTTTTCTATCCTTCGAAGGTTCTATATATGTGCGATATCTATTTATTCACTTGTTTTTCACTTATACTAGTCTGAATCTGATGGGCTCTCAAGATTTCAAGGGAGTTCATCTATTTCGAGTGATGATTATTTTGGTCATCCTAAAGTGCGACACTCTCAGGTATCTAATGAATTACAAAATATCAAAGATGGTGTCAAGCAAAGTGTAACTAAAGTTGCTGGACGGCTGTCAAATCTGGCAACTGACGTAGTACACACTCTTCAAGTAAGTTCAGTTAGATAAATACTGATTATTATATGTGTTTAGACTATTTTTTGGAAAGTATGATCGATTGAATACTCCTCAAAGTACTACACACATTATTCATTAACGTTTTTGATGACAAAAATTGACGATTATACGCTAAGACTGAACTGTGTGGAAGTTTTGAATCGTTTCTCAATATTATTCGCCGTTGCAAGTAACACGATCGAACTAGTTGATTGCTAATGAATAATCCTTTCCATCTCATATTGAACCCAGTTCCAAACGAACTATTTGGTTTTTCGATGGTAATTTTACTGAGGTATTTAATGAAAGATACCACTCTGTTGTTCTACTACTAGAGAATGCAATAATTTTACGTATTATATATCAGTCTGTTTACTTATTTAACGCAGTTTACTGTTGTGGAAGTACGAATGCTTTTGAATTGTTTCCCTCAAGAAGTAATATCTACACGAGTTATTAATCTCAGTAACAGTTGTTTGTACTCTCATGATGGCTCTATATTTGTTACCTGAGGACTAATAATACCATATGGTTTTCCAGGCTCGTCTCTTTGAATCACTTCCACAACCGTTGTAAAGATTAGTAAACTAGTACGTGTAAATATTTATCTAGTTGAGACTAAAATGCGACATGTTTATTAAAATTGACATTTAAACAAAACAGGCTACCTAAATCAATAAAGAAAGAATTATTCATGACGAACAGATTTGTCATTGAATGGTTTTGGTTAGCGAGTACGCACCAAATTATTTTAGTGATAAGAGACATTGTCATATAATTTTCATCATAAACTGATCGAGACTTCTGACCAACGTAACTGATAATAGTCTAAAAGGCTTACAAATAAATGGTCAAAGTTTGGTGGTTAAATTGAATAGTAATCAAATTAGCAGCCTGATGATGAGGTAAACTATACAGTAAGACATAGCTGTCATGTCGCTCACTAACAGCCCTCAAACTGCCATGGATTTTGAAAGTAGAAATGTGCTAGTACTTTACTTTCTTGAACATTTCATGAAACGACCTAGCACTTAAAAGGAGGCCAGCCAAACAAATATTTTAATGTTGGCTACTCTCTGTGATGTAATCGTTCAAGTTGATATCCACCCGTTTTGAGAGCTTTTGACTCAAAGTCCCTTTCATTGGTTATCCCAACCTTGGTATGTGAAGCAACTTTTGAAGCAGTAATCCACTTTCTGTCAGATTACCAATTCATTTATGCCGAATGTTTGTTTTTATCGCTCCTCTTTTACAAGCACATATTTTATTATTGCTTAAAATTTGTATATTTACATTTGGGTGTATTTTTTCAGGATCGATTCGGTTAGTTGCTTCCAGCTTTTTAATGCTTTCAGTCAGCTTATGGTCCTTTCGGTCAATATTCTGGTTTAGCAACCAATCTTCTCTTCATTTTCGGCCACGATCGGGGTTCAGGACATTCCTTTTTTCCGGTTATCTATTCTTAAAGCTTTTGTTATTTTTTGTTTTATTCATCTCTCCAGAGATAATAAGTTAGTTAATCCTAGTTGACTGTAAGAGCCATTTTGTTTAGTGGATGATATAAATTGAAGTTTTGTAAAACATATTTTTGGTTGTAAACACTAAGTAAACCATATTTTCTGGGGTGATTGTTGTCTTGAAATGCCTTCTATTATTGACGGAAATTATTATAACGTGATTGCTTCATTCATGCGGATCGCTTTCCTTTTCGTATGTATCGAACAATCTATACATAAATGTTTCTAGTATGATTATCGCAATATCTGTGGATAGGAGAAACATAAACAAAGAAATTGACAGATTAATATTGATATATTTGACCTTATTATTGACACTTTCATAATACATATTGATATGATTAATGTTTCGTCCTGGTATATGACTCGAGTGCGTGTCTACAATCCTACTGAAGATCAAACCTAGAAAATAAATACAGTAGCATATATCATTAGTTAAAGATATGTCCTCCAATTGTAATCTTAACAGACTAGGAAATCTTTGTGTTTAATAAAGAACGTTTGTGTGCAGAGCGGTGAAAATTGTCCGGAAGATTTTGTGATGTTCTACGTTTCTTTCAGTCCTATGGGACTGATATTTTGTTGATCATAAATATTGGCTATCTACGTGCAAGTTCTATGGAATGTATCAGGAACTACTCATCTGTTGTATATACAAATTTCATTACTAAGCTCGTATTGATGAATTATTACTGTGGTGAAGGTCCTCACGAAACTGGATGTAATTCAAAATATTTGATGGGGGAGAGGTAGCAACATGAGCATTTTCAATATTTGGGGACAAATGCTTAAATGTAAAAACGATATTATGGGTTTCACAGATCATGTGATTCGTAACTAATATTGTCGCACTTGTAGGTATCACTACCAAGGTTTGACCTGATAATTTCGAATAAATTAAGCATTAGATACTTTGTCATAAATAAATTAATATTTGTAATGTCCCTACCTTGACGCGGTGGTCGGGCTTGCCTATCGTGATGACCCAACCGAGCTATATTGGCTGGAACATATGTTCCTGTAGGTTCTACCGTGCCAGGCAGGTCGATTGGAGAACGGTAAGACTAAAAGCAGCAACTCAAGGTCCGAGGGCGAAGTCGTACTGCTGACTGTAGAGAGGTGTGACAGCAGTAAAGTGTTTCCCTCAGACAACCAGCATGACAGCGATGCTGCCTTCCCACAAGGAGGGGTGGGGTTAGAAAACGTCGACCCTAAAAATGTCACACCTTACCTCACGAATTTCCGTCTCCGGCGGTAAGGCCCTTTGAAGAACGGATCTAACACGTCAAAAACCTTCCACGAAAAGGCCGTGGGCGACCGGCCTCAAGCAGTTGTCCCTTAGGCACTGCGGTCACGCTCCCAGGTCGTCAAGACCAACACTAATCCAATTTCTTTTTCAGGTTCCTCAAGAAATACCCTTCCACGGTGTGGGCAGCCGGGAAGTGACACCAGCCCTCATACCCGTAACAGCACGCGAGACCAAGTTGGTCACATTCAAATCCTTCCTACACCTCCTAATACCTCTCTTATTTCCATGACTAACCCTCCTCACGTCTCTTTATCACCTCGCACCGCTAGGGCAAACGATTCGAGTACGTGGAACTCTATTCCTGGTCTCCTGAAACCACGCTCTAAACTACACGTAGGAGCTTTTAACGTACGAACACTTTAACAAATAGGACAACAGGCTTCCTTAGCTAGGACTTTAGAATCTTGCGCCATCGATGTGTGCTGCGTCTCCGAAACGCGCATGTAGGATCCAAGTAGCGTCATTCATCTGACCTCATCGTGCCAAAATAAAGAACCGACTCAATTTACGCTTCGTGTATCTGGAAGCCCTGATTCTGCTTCCCGTGGCCTCGCCGGCATAGGTATAGCATTGAGTCCTAGGGCAGAACTACCTCACTTAAAGTGGATCCCAGTAGACAGCCGTTTGTGCGCTGTCCGACTGAACGGAACAGTAAGAATCCGGAAAGATAGGGACACTCGTCGTTTCCGCCTATTCTCCCACTGACTACAGTTCAGATGATGTGAATAATGAATTTCACGGAAAGCTTTCCGACTTTCTCCGAAAAGATAGGCGCTCTGATGTAGTAATCGCGGTAGGTGACTTGAATGCTCAAGTAAGTAAACTAAGCGAAAGGGAAAGACACCTAGGTGGATCTTATGATGTCGTGGCTCAAAGAACAGATAATGGCGACCGTCTGTTGCAGCTATGCTCAGATAACCGCCTGCAAATACTAACTTTAAGCATAAAGAAGAACATCTTTTAACATGGCGACCCCCTAATTCGTCCCAACGTTGGACCCAAATAGATCACATCGCTATCAGCCACCGATGGAGGGGCTCGATAGAAGACTGTCGCTCATTCTGGAGCACATGCTTAGATTCAGATCATGCTCTAGTGCGAGCGCGTATTTGCTTGCGTCTTACTGGACGTAGGAAAAACGCTGCAAGGAAACCTCTTAGAGGTCTACTTAATGATAGTCAAGCTAAGAGTATATTTCAGGAACAACTAGGAAAACAGTTAGGCAGCCATGTATGTGATGCCCACCCCGATGCAGCATGGAATGATATCCGAAAAGCTGTGGAAACAGCAATGATATCTGCTAGTAAGGTAAACCAGAAGGTTAGAGAGCAACACTGGATCTCAGCAGCATCTATCGCACTGATAGATGCTCGGAAACTCATTCCACCTGGCACTGAACATAATGAAGAGCGGAGTCAGCTTAAGCGCAAGCTGACAAGAAGTCTACGCAATGATCGCAATGGCAAGTTAATGTAGGTCCTCCGTCTCTCAACGAAGTTGAAAAAGCCATAGGAAATCTGAAGCGAGGGAGAGCAGCAGGCCCTGACAGGTTTACTCCTAAGATTTTTAAGGATGGTGGTCCAGTATTAGCAATGAGATTAACCGAGGTCTTAGGTAGAATTTGGGAACTGGACGTAATTCCATCTGACTGGCCTCAATCACTGATTGTGCCAGTCTATAAGAAAGGACAAAAGTCCTCTTGTGACAATCACAGAGGAATCAGTTTGACTAATATAGTGTCTAAAATATTAGCCTCAATAATACTTCGACGCCTAATCAAAGCTCGTGAAGAGCAGACTAGAGAAAACCAGGCCGGTTTTCGACCTGGACGTGGTTGTATAGATCAGATATTCACACTACGTCAGGTTCTAGAACACAGATACACATTCAGACGCCCCACAATGGTAGTATTTCTCGACCTTAAGGTGGCATTCGACTCTGTTGATCGTGAGGTTCTATGGCAGTGTTTGTCACTGAAAGGAGTACCAAAGAAGTACATTAACCTTATTCAGGCTCTCTACTCGAACACAACTGGTAGAGTGAGAGCTTATGGTGAACTGTCATCAGAATTGATTACCTCAAGTGGTGTTCGTCAGGGTTGTCCACTCTCCCCATTCTTGTTCAACTTTGTTGTCGACGTACTTTTAGAAATAACACTCTCCTCATCTAAATTTCCAGGGGTTGAACTTCTACCGGGAGGTTCACTTGTTGACTTGGCTGGGACACGTGTTACGTATGCCCAACGACCGACTGCCTCGACGTGCGGTGTTCAGTGGTATAGGAGTAGGTTGGAAGAAAGCTAGGGGCGGCCAGACCAAAACATGGCACAAGTCCATGAAGTCACTGACAAGTGGTCTGAGTCATGTTGATAGGTGTAGACTACCTGGTTGGGGACCGCGAGATGATAGCAACCGATGGTTAGAGACCCCGAATGACATGGCTCAAAATCGTCTGCAATGGCGCAGGTGCATCCACTCTTTGTGTTCTCCCAAATTCTAATCTTCTGAATTCTTCATGTCCCTATTTTCCTCTTTCCAAATTTATTTCACTGAATTATACTCTTTAAATAACATCTCCAAACCCTAATCTTCCCGATTACTGCTTACACTCTTGCTACATCTACCACTACGGGATATGAATCGACAACTGCATCTCTGTGCTAAGGTGGTGTGGCGACTCGAACTGATGTACGTACGTACGAAGTTCTACGTTGTTACTGACTGATTGACTGTAATGTCCCAGTGAGAAGAAAAGTTAGATTTTCTGACATTTCCTGACTCAGTGTAAGCCAAATATATTTATTTATATTATTGCACTGTGATATGTCTTGTCGATTGAACGCTATATTTGATTCCTAAGCTATTCCGATGACCCGCACGCTAGAACTACACAGCGACCTGAACACCAGAAAGAAGACGCAAAGTTTGGGAGAAATACTTTACTCCAAGGTTCTTTTCAATACAGAAAAGACAGGGTTTTTATAATATGCTTAAAAGTCCTTGGGTTGCTAGAAGATTCTGGAACGCTACTAAACATAGTAGCCGTGTAGCAACCAACCAATCAGAACCACTACATGTGACGTTCCGCCCATTTCACATTTCTGGCTAGAACTTCAGATGAACGCTGATTGGAGGAGACGCTTCTTACTGTTTCTTGACCCTTTGCGAGAAATTTACCGGGTCATTCGGACAGGCAGTTTGGCTGATTATGACTCTTCTTTTGATCTTACAGTCTTACATCTTTTTTATTGTAAAACTAGACTTACAGTTTTGTACATATGATAGCTAAGCCGTTGCACCGATAATTTCTACCTTGGATTAGACCAGATATTATAAATTAGAAAACATATTTAAGGCAGTGGTAAAAAAAGTTACCTGTTTCTAGTTAACGAACCAACCCTAACCATTCCTGTCAGATAATTGAACGATATTTGGAGGATTACAGCACTTTTAGATCATGATAATCGTTAAACACCATCGGGTACTGCTAACACAAGGTACATGTTTTGAATGTTTTATTCACGAAATAGTGCTCCGAACTGAACTACAACTTTTGATCCGATTCGTTTCGTTAACGGACTCACCAAATATGATAGTTTAAATATAACTGTTTTGCTACTATTCAGTGTGATTGAATGATAATTTTTTAACATTACTTGATTAAAGGTATGTATCGTAGCCTTGAATCATTCACTTGAAAACCTAGAAGTACTAGACGGCCGTTTCGTCTTAGTATGGTCGCGCAAGATCATGGACCGATTCAAGCTAGACAATAACACCGTTGGATGCGTGCCCATTGTTCTAGAGGTTACGCGTTCGCACGTGAGGCTGGAAGTCCCGCTTGCGGGATCGTGGATCCGTTCTGCTGATGAGTCACATACTAGGACGAGATGGCCGTCCGGGTTTTCAGTGGTAGTCTAACATTGATCGGTTCATGATCTCAATGAAAATATAGCTCACATTGTAAGCTCCAGCTTCACCTTATATACCCTTAAGTTCATGGGAGTTTTATTATTTATTTGATTAGACACATTCTC